ATATATATATATATACATAAACAAGTACTTAAATTTAATAAAACACCATGGTTAATATCAATCTATCCAAATATTTTATTTTATCTACATTTTTCTATTTCTATGTTGTGGGGAGCTGGTGTATCTCCAGCAGTCACCGTGTGAGAGGTGGGGGACACCTAGACAGGTCTCCAGTCCATCACAGAGGCACATCGAGACAGACCATTCACACTCTCACTTACATTTAGGGAAAATTCAGAGCTACCATTTAATCTAACGTGCGTTTTTGGTGTTTGAGAGAAAAGCAGAGTATGCGGAGAAAACTCCCCGTGAACATGCACTGACTTGACATAGTAAGACTGGGAGGTGCACATACATGCTCTAATCGCTACCACCAAATTTATTATGAAATTACAAAATAAAACATGGCATCAAATTATATTTAAGAGACCATAAATGATAATTTCATTACAATCTGCACACATTTACCTCTTAAGTAACAAAACGTTGAACAAACAGTGCAATGGCTTAGAGGACACAGTGCAATGGCTTAGAGAAGTCTACAATGTTGCTGCATTGCTGCCTCCTCTGGCTTGGACCCCTAAATATACACAGAGCCAATGAACCTTCCATTGAACTCATTACATCATGTATTTATTGTAAAAATCTACTAAAACTTTATTTGAAGCTTGTGCATAGCTACTGAACTCAGACTCATAATACGCACAGTTTGTTTTTGATATATTGATACATGTCATTGATGTGTAGGAGAATCCAGGATGAATAAAAAAAAAAGTTGTTTAAGCAACTGGGAGATTCACACACTTTATTAAAGTACCAACCTCAAAAAAATAAAACATGTTGAATGCACCGTGTCTCATGAGAGTGGAAAGAGGCCACAGCTTAGCGATGATTCATTTTTGTACTGAATTGAACAACCAGTAAAACAACCGCTACCATTCATAAGCACCAATCATCAAAAATAGTTCTTAGAAGCCTTAAAGCCACAGATTTCATTATTTCTGTGTCTGAGACAATCATCTAATGTTCTTCTTGTTCAAATATGACAATTGTCAGTTCCAAGAAGTTCAACGTAGAAGTTAAGGATGATGATAGAAAATGGAATGGGAGAACAGATTGATCCTATATTCCTTGTATGCTGGTGAAGATTCTCAGTCATCCAGGACATGATGAATTCAACAAGCGTTCAATACAAAAACAACTGGACTTTATTTGTAACAGAAGACGTTTCGCTCCTCATCCACATATTATGGATATGTATATAGTATATATAGATAGTATATTCCTTGTATCATCTTTTAACTTTATGCACTCATGTTCCTTACAGGAAAAATTGACCACCTTATTTATATGCATTAAAATACCCATCCATCCATCCATTTTCTTTACCCGCTTATTCCATTTTGGGTCACGGGAGTTGCCGGTGCCCATGTCCAGCAATCACTGTGCGAGGTGGGGGACACCCTGGACAGGTCTCCAGTCCATCACAGGGACAATTAGAGACAAACGAGACAAACAACCATTCACTCTCTCACTCACACCCAGAGACAATTTAGAGTTACCAATCAGCCTAACATGCATGTTTTTGGTCTGTGGGAGGAAACTGGAGCACCCGGAGAAAACCCACGCATGCACTGAGAGAACATGCAAACTCCACCCAGAAAGGCCCCCAGACCGGGATTTGAACCAAGGACCTGCTCGCTGAGAGGCAGCAGCTCTACTAGTTGCGTCACCATGCTGCCCATTACTAGTTCTAATTAAACAAAAAAAATTAACAACAAAAATGGTTAAATCATGTCATCTGGACCAGTTTCATTAAGTGTACCTATGTGTACTCTCTTAAAGAAACTGGTCCAGATGAAATGATTTAACCATTTTGTTGTTATCAATCAACCTTTATTTAGACAGGTAAATCCCATTGAGCCTCTAGGACTCATTTACAAGAGAGACCTGAATTTTTATTTTTTTTTCTGAAAAGAGCTGCTTTATTTTCCTAATCAATCAACCTGGATGATTGAGCTTACAAACCTTTTCCTAAAAACTTAACAGTTTATTTGTTTCTATGTGTTTTTATTATGTGATTTATTTAATCTTATGCTCAACTTTATTCTTGTCAGGTTGGCTAAAATATGGAGTGGAAGTCGTGCTGTCGTCTCTTCCATCGCCTTCATCAGCAGCTGTGCCAACCCTGTGCTCTACTTCTTCGCAGGAAAGTCCTATATTAGAAGAGAAGGCATGGCATTCATGGCTCGTTTGTTCGAAGGCGCTGGTTTGGACTACTCCAGGAAGAGCCGACAAAACAGCCAGAACAGCCGTGATAAATACAAAGATGCAGATGTTGTTCAGCTCAATGACAAAGTTCTAGAAGATCAAGACTCTACCACAAACTCAAGCAAGTGAAAGATGGTGACTAGAGAAGACATGAGGACATGTGCTTGATGGACCATTAGGCACATCTGACCTTATTTATTCTATCCAGTCTGGAGCAGCTTGGTACAAAAACATTTATGCAATGCTGGCTGCTACTTGCTGATAACAACATCTTCAAGAAAAATGTTGCAAATATTCAAATATAGACTTTGGAATGACATGAAACTTGATACTTCCCCTGGCAATGCTTGCATCAATGACTGTCAATATACAGTAATGGATATAAGTATAATTCTGCTCTGAACAGTGCTTATGAAAAACACTGTCAAAGAATCCTGGGACAGGTGATTGTCATCCCTCAAGGATATCTTTTTCCGCAAAATCCAACCCAAAAAAGCATTGAAAGTATTTGCTTTGTCGACTGTATGTTTACATATTTTTAAAATCGTTATTGTTATTCTGCAACAATGGTGCTGGTCAGAGTTTCTAAAAAATAGTTTCCTTTGCAATGTGTGACATTAGCAAGTACCTGCATATCATGCAAGCAGAACTTGGAGTACAATACAATGAGCACTATAGTCATGGCTTGAGCCAATAAAAAAACATCAAAATTTATGGTTTCTAATAAACTTTGTTTCTACGGGACCTGCAATATTGACAGCCAATATGCTGCTGACATGCCTCAAATACAAGATAAACCTGTGGTCTGAATGCAAAGTGCTATTTTATTAAAGTATGGAACAATAAGATCTGTAACATAAGATGGAAATACTGTATAGGTTGTTGAGAGCTTTATATGTTAGAAGTAAGATTTTTAATTTGAATTTGACAGGGAGCCAATGGAGAGAAGATACAACTGGAGAAATATGATCACTCCTACCAAGTTTCATTAAGACTCTGGCAGTAGCATTTTGGATCAACTGAAGATTTTTTAAGGACGTATTTGGACACCCGGATAATCAACAATTGCAATAGTCCAGTCCAGACATGTTAAATGCATGGACCAGTCTTTCTGCACCATTTTTGACAAAATGTTTCTAATTTTAGTGATATTATGCAGGTGGAGGAAAGTGGTCCTGGTAGCTGTATAAATATAGGGGTTAAAAGACATTTCTTGATGAAAAACAACACCAAGGTTTTTTTTTTTACATTAGAATCAGAGGCCAAATTAATGCCATCCAGAGGAAATGAAAGGCTGCAAAAATTATTGCGGGGGAGTGGTGGCGCAGAGGTTAAAGAAGATGGGCCTGTGTTCGGAAAATCGCAGGTTCAACTCCCAGTACCATCAACATCAAAATGTGGGCAGAAAAGGTGAAACACCCACACCTGCCTCCATCCTCATTCGCCCAACTCTGGGTCCCTGAGCCTTGATTCCCTTAACACCCCCCCCCCCCCCCCCATCTGCTCCCTAAACAGGTCTCTTTTGAAAATGAGTTCTCGTGACTTAATGAGACTACCTGTATAAATAAAGGGTAAATTAATGAAAAATTGCTAAGATGCTCAGGTCCAAAAACAACAACCTGTGTATTGTCTGAGTTTAAAAAGAGAAAATTAAGGGTCATCCAGGTTTTTATAACTTTAAGATATGCTAGTAATATAAGTAACTGATTGGATTCATCAAGTTTCATGGATAAATATAATGGAGTATCATCAGCATAACATTGAAAATCTATGTCATGCTGTTTAATAACTTTACCTTAAGGAAACTTATATAAAGTAAAGAGTATTGGTTCAAGCACTGAACCCTGGGGAACTATATGGCTAACTTTGCTGTATGAAGAAGATTCATTATTTCCATTTACAAACTGGAATCTATCAAATAAACATATTTTAAATAATTTTAGAGCCATCCCTGAGGTGGCCCTTTTTCAGTGTGAGTTTGGGTGGGTAACAGAGGAGAAGCAGCAGAGATTTATGTAAGACTACAACTCTTCCTGGACCCTGGGTTGTCATTAGGAGGACCAACAAAATTGGCCAAATTTCTAGAAAGAAGAGCAGCTCCACCCAAAGTGGAATGGATGGCATATCTCTGCATCAGACCACGTTATCCCCAAAAAGCACTCCAGTTATCCACAGTTTATTTTGTTATCAGGACACCACCTGGACAGCCAGCAGTTGAACAACGACATTTGAAACTTCCAGTTTCCTGCAATACTTGTGATGTCATTTCCAACCAGCCAATAGATTTTTTTATCAAATTCCAAAAAAGCAACTTTTGCACAATACTCTGATTACATAGGAGTTACACTCACTGGCCACTTTATAGGTCTACATTGCTAGAACCAGGTTGGACTCATTCAGCTTACGGAAATGTCTTAATTTTCTTGCGGCAGAAACTGAAAAATATGTTGGAAACATTCCTCAGAGATTCTGGTCCATGTTAAGATGTTAGCGTCATACGCTTGCTTCAGATTTGTCAGCTGCACATTTAAGATATACAGTAAATCTCCCAGTCTTCCACATTCCAAAGGTGCTTGACTGGATTGCTATCTTACGGCTGTGGAGACCATTTGAGTCCAATGTATCCAAAACCATCAAACCAGGCAGTTTTATTCCAATCACTAAATGACCAATTTTGGGGAGCCTGTGTGAACTGTAACCTGTCTCATTTTCTTACTGACAGAAGTGACGACCCATGTGATCCTTGCTGCTCTAGCCTATCTGCTTCAAGGTGGGATGTGTTGTGTGTTCTGGATGTATTCTGCAAACCTTGGTTGGACTACACTGTTTCTTCATTTGTTGTTGCCATTTTGTCATATCAAATCACTTTGCCAACCATAGTGATGGTTTTATGTAATGATGCCAGCAGGTATAGATCCCAAATTCTCACATTAGCCTGTATAGCAAAAACAACTACACCCCATTCAAAATCACCTAAATCTCCTTTCTACCCCATTCTGATTAAACTTCAGGAAGTCATCTTCACCACTTCTATATGCCTAAAGGCATTGAGTTGCTGAAATGTGATTAGCCGATTATCTGTTTGTGTTAACAAATACTTGAACAAGTGAACATAATAAAGTGGCCTGTTGATGTATTAAAGCCGATAAATGTGTTCCGTTTCTGAGTAACTTAAAGTCAGTAAAACTTTTTTTTTTTTTTACTTCAGGTCCACAACTAAATCAGTTTCACTGTCTTATTACTGGACTCCAAAAATGCTCAGATTTAGTGTTAGTTAGATTTTTCACCATATATGTAGCAAATATTGCAAGTCTTTTCCCCATGCTTACCAGTTGAAATATTGAGCCAAGATTTGTTTCATATTGTATAAAATGCAAATAAACCAATGTACTTTAAAAAAAAATATAAACAAAACAACTTTGGACTCATTATTAAACTAATATGTTCATGTATGGGCTGTATGCTTATATATAACAAAATGTGGAAGTCACAAGGTGATTTTGGATGTTTATTTTCGACTGCATTATGAATTTGATTAATTATGTAATCATGCAACATTATTTATGCAGTGTGGATTAGAGACATATTATTTTTTGCTTTAAACTTGTGCTGATGTGTGCTGTGTCAACATCCATCCATCCATTATCTTTACCCGCTTATTCCATTTTGGGTCACGGGGGTCGCTGGTGCCCATGTCCAGCAATCACTGTGCGAGGGGTGGGGTACACCCTGGACAGGTCGCAAGTCCATCACAGTGCCACATAGAGGCAAAAGAGACAAACAACCATTCACTCTCTCACTCACACCTAGGGACAATTTAGAGTTACCAATAAGCCTAACATGCATGTTTTTGGTCCGAGGGAGGAAACCGGAGTACCCAGAGAAAACCCACGCATGCACGGAGAGAACATGCAAACTCCACCCAGAAAGGCCCCTGGACTGGGGTTTGAACCAAGGACCTGCTCGCTGAGAGGCAGCAGCTCTACCAGTTGCGCCACCGTGCTGCCCATTGTGTCAACATTCAAGTTTTAAATTAAATCTGAACATGTTTGAATCCAAGTTAGTTTTTTCCCTACTAATCAGTACCAGCAATTTTAAGATTTTTTCCTTGAGCTTTTCCAGAACAGTTTGTTCGAACACAGAAACGCAATTTTTCTAAAAAGATTTTTTTTTTGTCATTTAAAAAAAAATTGCCTCATCAGCATGGCACCCATTCTAGAAATCCCTCATTCCACACAAAACAGTAACAATGACCCAAACGTTGTAGTAACCATGCCAGGCCTCTATGTGGCACTGTAACAGTGTAACAATTCAGGTCTCTCTTGTAATTGAGTCCTCGTGGCTCAATGGGACTAACCTGTTTAAGTAAAGGTTGAATGAACAATAGTACACCAGAAACAAGAAACAAGGTTGGTTTTACTGAAACCGCTCTTGGTGCTCTGTCATGTTCTCCTTTGCCTTAATCAATATTGTTTATTATTGAGGTATTACCATATCTGAAGGTTAAACCAGACACTAGGGAGTACAAGCCAGTGTATCTCTTTTGCCAGTCCGAAGCCCGGGTAAATGGTGAGGGTTGTGTCAGGAAGGGCATCTGATGTAAACCACTTTTGTCAAAACCAAAATGTGAGTTCATCAAAATGAAACCATATCGGATTGGTCAAGGCCTGGGTTAACAACAACTGCCACCGCTGCTGTTGACAAATAGGGTGCCAGCAGAAATTGTGCTCATGTTAGTAGAAAACCATGAGGAGGGAAATGTGTCAGAAGACAAAGGTAGAAAAGGAAAGTCAAGAATGTAGGACTGATGGTTGCAAATCTAAATGTTGGGACAATGACAGGCAAATGTAAAGAGCTGGCTGACATGATGCAGAGAAAGAAAGGTAGATGTTTTATGTGTCCAAGAGACCAAGTGGCAGGCCAGCAAGGTTCTCAGCATTGGAGCAGGGTTCAAACTGTTTTACCATGGTGTGGATAGAAAGAGAAATAGAGTAGGGGTGGTCCTGAAAGAGGAGCTGACAAAGAATGCAATAGAGGTAAAGAGAGTGTCAGATAGGATGATGTGCCTGAAGGTAGAAGTAAATGGACTGTACTTATATAGCACCTTTCTATCTAATCAAGATACTCAA